AGCAACTTTTCTTTTATTACAGCCTTTCAAGTATTTGAAAACCGCTATTATGTCCCCCTCCTTCCCCAATCAGTTTTCCAAACTAATCATATCCAGTTCCTTCAGGCTGTGTCCCTAGGGCTTACATTCCATCCCTTTAATCATCTTTATCCCTCGCCCCTGAATCCTTTCCAGTTTCTCTACATCCTTTCTATATATTGTTGACCAAAACTGGAGACAGTCCTCCAGCTGAGACCTAGCCGGCACCGAGTAGAGCGGTACTGTCACCTCTCCTGACTTGCATGTCCTGCCTCTGGTAATGCAACCTGAAATTGCATTTGATTTTTTGCAACATCACATTGCTGACTCCTGTCGAGGTTGTGATCCACCCCAACTCCCAGCTCCTTCTCAGCAGTGCTGCTGCCAAGCCAGTTCTTCCCCATCCTGTATTTGTGCATTTGGTTTTCCTTCCCTAAATGGAGAACCTTCCATTTGTCCTTCATGAATTTCATCGTATCGTCTACAGCCCAGTTCTCCAATTTGTTGAGATCCCTGTGAATTTTAGCTCCATCCTCCAAAGTGTTGGCAACTCCCCCCAGCTTTGTGTCTTCTGCAGATTTGATCTGTCTGCTCCGTAGTCCTACATCCAGGTCATTGATAAAGATGTTAAACAACACGGGACATAGAACAGATCCCTGTGGGAACCCAGTCAAGACCTCCCTCCAATCTGACATAGTCCATTAACAGTTACTTGTTGTTTCCGGTTGCTTAACCAGTTATAAAGCAAGAGAGGGTCCTGTGGCACCTTTAAGACTAACAGAAGTATTGGGAGCATAAGCTTTCGTGGGTAAGAACTTGCATCTGAAGAAGTGAGGTTTTACCCACGAAAGCTTATGCTCCCAATACTTCTGTTACTCTTAAAGGTGCTACAGGACCCTCTGTTGCTTTTTACAGATTCAGACTAACACGGCTACCCCTCTGATACTTAACCAGTTATGTAGCCACTTAATGGTAGTTCCACCGAGCCCACATTTCTCCATAAGAACGGCCATACTGGGTCAGACCAAAGGTCCATCTAGCCCAGTATCCTGTCTTCTGATGGTGGCCAATGCCAGGTGCCCCAGAGGGAATGATCAGAACAGGGAATCATCAAGTGATCCATCAACCTGTCACCCATTCGGAGCTTCTGGCAAACAGAGGCTAAGGACACCATCCCTGTCCATCATGGCTAATAGCTATTGATGGACCTTCTTACCAGCTTTGCCTGTTACGTTGGGATACGCTCATTTATTAGGTTTATTCTTCTCGGGTGGGGGGGGGTCTGTATTTCTATCACTGTATTGCTTGTGTCACTTGTGTTCTCATACAGAGCTCTACTTCCCCCTGCTGCAAGTTTCCTCCCAATGGAACTATCCTGCAGGACCTAGGTTCCCTAGGGCTGGGGTCTTCCAGCCCCAGAATCAGACGAACACACACACCCACACTCTCTCTCTCTCTCTCTCTCTCACACACACACTCATTAACAGAGTACGCCTGAGAGGACTGGGTTAATCAGCACTCCCAAGCTGACCCCTTATATGCCCCTGGATTCAGTAGTCTGGGTCGAGCAGCACTTCAAGCTGCTACCCTCGTATGCCCCAGGTTCAGCACGTCCCTATCCCCACGGTCACGTTACAATTGTTCTGGGAGTAACCCACAGGATATTTGGGCACTGCAGGGATCTTTTAGCTTAGGTACGAGGAGCGTTGCTGCAGAGCGAATGAGGAAACCAAAATACACCCATGGGGCGGGGGGGAGGAGAGAGAGAGAGAAACAACCCGTTTAATCATGGAAGTTGTTTATTGCTAGGTAATAACCAGAGGGAAGCCCAGCACGACAGTCAGGAAAAGATGAAATCCCAATGGAACTGATGCAGATTTTGAATCCAGGGACCAGAACACTTGAGCGTGGGTAGGAGTTTTTGTAGAGAAACAACAATGGTTCGAGGGTGAGCACTAGATTTGTTGATGTGTAAACACGGGAGAATACCAAAGTTGTTTTGCTTGGGCTAGACATGGGAGCTGATCATTCCTGGCTTTGGAATATCAATACTAGAATTGGTCTGATAATTGCTGAGCTGGGTGTGGGCAGGCATGGGTTCATTAACATCTGGAGCAGAGATCCCCCATCATGCCGTGCTTCCCTGCTTTTCTGGTCCCAGAGTTCCATATGGTTCTTGCCTTGGAATCTCTGTTTTGAATCCTGTATGCTAATGGAGATGCCTCCTTGTCTCATCTTTGAGGCAAATGAGGCCAGGGGAGTTTCCTTAATTCTGTCATCCTTATCCCAGGGGATTAGGTGTAAGTCTATGTTTTTTGATGCAGTTTTGGTTCAAGCAGAGGCTGGGTGGGGTGGGTTGTGAGTCAGACAGGCTGGGTACTGCACCCTGGTTCCCCAAGAACACAGAGCTGCTAAGTAAAAACCTGTACTGCATGAATTTATCCAGTTCTTTTTCAATCCTGGTATAGTTTTGGCCTTCACAACATCCTCTGGCAAAGAGTTCCACAGGTTGACTGTGTGCTGGGTGAAGAAATACTTCCTTTTGTTTGTTTTAAACCTGCTGCCTATTACTTTCATTTGGGGACTCCTAGTTCTTGTGTTATGGGGAGGAAGAAATAACACTTTCCTATTTACTTTCTCCACACCTGTCATGATCTTATAGACCTCTATCATATCCACCCTTAGTCCTCTCTTTTCCAAGCTGAACAGTCCCAATCTTATTAATCTCTCCTCATATGGCAGCTGTACCATACCTATAATCATTTTTGTAGCCCTTTTCTGTACCTTTTC